GAAATGAAACGGCGCCACTTGGTAAAATGGTGTCACTTTGTGAAGATAGTCTGTCTTGTCATCTGGAGGCCTGCTCAGTGGTTATGAGGGCATGAGTAAAAATAGTCGCTAACTTCGAAAATTTTCATGAAGCATAATTTGAGCAGTTCGATATACGCGGTATCAAAGTCCTTCAAATATTTCGCGGCTTTATCCGCCTGCTGTTGACCCTCTTTCTGCTTGTCTTCGAAGATTAGGGCGAACCCAAAAGAGTCTTCTGTCATCTTTTAGTATTGAGGAGGTGGCCCTCGCTTTCTGCATAGAAAAGGCAACATGTTGAAGGGAACGAAGGTAAGCATAGGAAAGGCGAAAATAAACTATTTTGAGCCTTAATGCGAATTCCGCCGTCTTTGTATTGGCGTTAATTGCTCTGAGCCACTTCTGCTGCGAACGGAGCAGCGCGTTGCGCTCCAATATCCAACTGGTATAGCTCGACAGCAGCTTTATTAGAACTCTTCACGGCGTACACTATGGCAATAGCAAGTTCTAGCAAGAGAAATAGTAATAGGAAGCTGTTCTATGCTAGTTTGCGATCAATCAAAGTACTACTGTATATTTCATATTCATAGTCAAGATGTTGGAGAGCAAACTTGACCCACCCTCCCATTCCTAAGATGTAGGTGAGTAGCAATTTTATCCGAAGAGCGTAGAAGACTGATTTACACGACCTTAGTCCTGGGTGTAGGTGAATGAAATAACCCATGAGCACTGAGAGACAAGACTTATTGAAGAAGATGCTCCATCTTTACAATCCGGAGGTGCTTTCCCCAACACTGCTGCGAAGATGTCCCATCATCTTCCGAGATAAAATAACAACCTAGACTTGGGTTTTTCGACTTGATTTTTCAAAGCCAGTTTTTTTACCAAACCCGTTTTTCTTTTTTTTTCCCGGGCCGTTGTATTTTCTAAAGGCCAACTTTTTTTCCCCGGCCAAATTTTTCTCCAAAGGCCCGCTTTTTTTTCTAAAGGCCAGCCACAGCCACGGCACAGTCCCCGCCACAGGACACACACACACACAGCCCCAGCCCCAGCCACACACAAACGCACAAAGCTACACCCACACACTGAGCCACACACACACACACAAGCGCGCCCACGCCTTTCCCGATGTATTTGTTAGGCCGATAACTTCCCAGAGGTGCAGTCTCTTGCCGTTTTGTGCCTGAGGGCTTGGCGCTTGTTCCTCCGGCCTAACGACATGGCCGGCGTCTTGTATATAAAAGTATACTATATCCTAGACCTTAGAGACATGGCGCTCTACCGTATACGGATGGCACCCTCTTTGAACTAATGAGACGAGCACCAGATTATACGTATGCATCACTGTCATCTTCACAGTCTAAGAGGTATTCAGATCGTAACTCAAGATCATCCGTGTGAGATGGGTCCAGCCTATCCTTCCTCATTTGTTGCAAGTTGGAGGTCTCAGTCTCGACACGGGGGCCCCATTTCTTCAGCTGCTGGATCGCCTCATCGAGTTGCTGTATTTTTGAAGAAAGCAAGTGGAGGCCCATTTTCAAAGAGAACATGCGGAGGCGGAATGTCATGTCATGGCACCTCTTTCGTAGCTATTCATGTGGAATGGTCTATTGTCAGTGGGCGACACCAAATATGATCTTCTGGGCATTTTGTGTCAGAAGAATAATAAGAACTGTTCTTGACGAAGAAAAGTGATCTTCTGGTCCTTTTGTGTATAGTGATGAAGTCTTAGACATTGCAGTCCACGTATTATTAAAGCATATACCTCAGCAGTCACCTGGGCATTCGGTTTCTTGCCTCCCGACTCCTCCGCAAACGGCCATTCCGCCTTCGCCTTTTCCGCCTGCTTCACCTCTTCCGCCATTTTCGCCTCCGCCTCTTCCTGCTTCGCCATTTTCGCCTCCGCCTCTCCCTGCTTCGCCATTTTCGCCTCCGCCTCTTCCTGCTTCGCCTTTTCCTCCCTCGCCTGCTCCGCCCTTTCCGCTTCCGCCTGCTCCGCCTTTTCCGCCTCTTCCTGCTTCGCCTTTTCCTGCTCCGCTTTTTCCGCCTCTTGCTGCTTCGCCTCTTCCTGCGCCCTCTCATCTGCCTGACCTTGCGCGCCGCTACCGGTGCTTGCGGACCCTACTCCCGGCGCACCGCTTAACGGCCTTTCTTGTGCAGCTGGTGTGCTTTCCGTGTCTCTTAGAGCAGAAGAAATGGCAATGGACTAGGAAAGTGTCTAGGAAAGTGTCATATATACAGAAGATGAGCTAGCAATGGTATTGGTCGACAAAAGTAGAGTACTGCATGATTTCAGGTGAGATTCGCAATATCAGTACTAACTACAACCCTAGAGTAGATGCAGCTATCTTTGTATCACGAGTAGAAAGCCGCAGCGCTTCTTCGTAAAGCAGCAAGAATACGACGATAGTTCTTGATGCTGTAACTCAATGCACGGCGCCGCCCTTCAATAAAAGTGGTACCTAGAAGCGCCTAGGCAAAACAAAGAGCCATCAATAAAAACCAAAGCCAGCTTCACTACACGAACATGCCCCCCCGATCCAAGTTTTTGAGTCGGGGGGCCTCCAGCCCCGGCCCCTTTTTCTCGAGGGACTGCCGAGCGGGAAAGCCTCCAAGCGCCTCCCCTCGCGCCCTCGCGGCTTCTTGCGTGTACCCTACAGAAGCCAAACCCCCGAGGCCGTTCAAGCTCCGGCGACCGGGGGCGGAAGGCTTCCGAAGGCGGCAAAGGTGGCAGGGCCTGACCCCCTTGCCGTGTTGCGTGTACCCTACAGGCCTCCCGCATGCGGGTCCCTCACCGGGGGAGCCCCTTGGGGGGCGGAAGGCGTGCGAGGGCAGCAGGCTGCAAGGCTTGACCCCTTTCGCCGTGCTGCATGTATCCGACGGAACCCAGGCGGGCACGCCTTGTCCCGAATCCTCCTCGCCTTTGGTCCTCAGCCCCCCGGGTCACCAATTGGGGGGGTGAGGGCCAATGGGGCCAGGCCTCGCGACCGTGGCCGCCTTCGGGGGCCTTCTACCCCCGACGGCCGTCCCCCTAATAGGGTCCAAGAGCCGGGACGCCTGTGGGGTGCACACGGAGAGCCGCCAGGGGACTCCGGCCCGCCTTTTGAGGCCTTCCCCCCCGGAAATCCCTGCACGTCACCACCGCGGAAAAAAGGGCGCGCCGACGCCACCACCGCTCCAGCCACAGGGGGGTGGCTCCCTCCCTGGTACATATATAGTTAAAGAGTTCGCTGCCTTGCTAACGAGGACCCGTCATTCGGCAGCCTGCCAACGATTTCCCTGAAGATTTCTGCCAGCTGATCTAGCTGGTTCTGCCCCATCTCCTCTGTTCATCGTTCATCTGTCATATCATTTCTTTCTTAATTAGGGACTCTACTTTCAGTCCCAGTTTCCTTGTGATGAGGTACAACTGAAAGGAGCAAGCCCGTAAGCCTTCGAATTCAAGAAACGACTCTCCTTTTGTTGGGGTCAGTTAGGTTAGGTGATGGGCCCTTCGCGTGGAGCTCCTTTAAAAACAAAAGATATTCTGTATCCGTGCAGAGAGCTTTGCCTTAAAGTAGTCGCATCCGCAGACTTTCCACAGGATGCGGACTGGCAAAATGACGCGGAACCACGAAGATTTTCCTTGCCTGAGACCACCACAGTCTGCCCTACCAGCGAAACAGCAG